AATTCTCCCTTTCGGTGACTTTCTAGGCCATTTTATTTTTCTACTAGCTCCTCCCCTTCCTCCTTCCTGTTCTCCTCCCCTTCCTCCTTACTGTTCTCCCCTTCCTCCTTACTGTTCTCCCCTTCCTCCTTACTGTTCTCCCCTTCCTCCTCCATTTCATAGTTTGTCTGTTTTTCGTCCTCTTTCAGATCAGTCTTGGCATCCATCTCACTGATGTCTGCTCCCTCCATCGTCTTGTCCTCTTTCTCCTCCGATTTTTCTTCGCTGTCCTCTGATTCGTCGACGTAAACCATTTTCAGCACATCACGAGGAGAAATGGCCTCTGAAGAAGATTCATCATTTTTAAGTTCGTCACTTTTGGCTTCCTGACTTTCTGTCTCGTTCTCACCACTGCTGCCGCCCTCTTTGTGCTCGGACACAACGGGCGAAGCTTCGCCAACGGACTTCTGATCTCTTGCATCCTTTGACATTCCTGGTTCTGAAATGGCGTCTGTGGAGTCACTGTCTGCTTCCTGTGTCGCCTGAGAAGAGAAACAGTTATTTAGATAACAACATGACACTTATCCTTACTTAAGGTTATGAAACTTTGAGAACCTATTAAACAGTATGTCAGTGTTGCTGAATCCATTTTTTTAAATAAAATATTCAACAATTTATACTCACTTTTATGATGCCTCAAATCTGAATTCAATTATGTTTAGTCAGAAATGTCGGCTCAAGAGTAAATATTATCTTAAGCTCACTCATCTATCCACACTTCAGTAATAAAAAATATTAATTTACATCATCTTTGCATATAAAATGTTTTATAGCTGGTTTTCTTTAAACTCGTGGTCATAAAACAACTAATCGCATTCATGAATCAAAAATCCCCAATGGCCAGGCAACTCTCGCGATGTCTCCCTCTTTCATTACAACACAACTTTACCACGTAGCTAGTATCAAAAAGCTAAAGGTAACGTGGATGGACAAAACATTTAGAGGCTGTGTAGCAAATAAAATAAACAAAAGCATAAATTACATCGTGTTGATTTGTCTGAGTTTTTATTTTCCTTTTTCATTTTTGCAATCTCGCGATATTTGTTAGCGTCTTGCTGCAGCGGCTGCAGGGTTAGTTTGAGCATGATTGCTTTGTTTTTCTCTCTCTGAAATGCAATTTTTTTTGCTTAATCCATGATCGCTAAACATCTAAACCGTTCAATAGAAAGCAGAACCTGTGGCTAACCGTCCGCCTGTTAAGCCAAGCTAGCCTTTCTGTTTATCCCCCGTTGTCCGGTTAGCTACCAGTTTCTCCACTCTTCGGTCTCAATAAACCGTTTCTGCCCCCTCAGGCTCACTCCTTCCCCTGCTGGGCGTATCTGGGCCCGCTATGAAGATCTTGTTCCAGCCTAACGCAGCGTGCAGACTGTAGCTTACCGCGCCGCTGACCTGGACCTGGTAGCTGGCCTGCTGCTCGGCTCCGTCTCCAGCTTCCGCCATGTTTGCACCAAAAACTGTCTGAGATGGAGTGTTTTCTCCTCCGGTCGGTTGTAAAACTACTTCACATTTATTCCAACTACACGGCTTTTTGCAGAATGCTTTTTTTGATTCTTCTTGGCGTTTATTGTCGGTGGGTAACGCTGTGGAATTACACATTACCGCCCCCAAGCGGTAGTAAATAAAATCAGCATGTTCGTGACGTCACGGCAGGTTATTAAATCGAATCACTTGAATTATGGTGAATTCACAAACGTTTTATCCACGCTCACAACAGATAATAAATAATGTAGTAAACGCATACGCCCGCGATTATATATATATATATATATATATATATATATATATATATATATATATATATATATATAAACTGTGTAAACTGTGTTGTACATAGAAGTAAATTTTATTGGAGAGTTCAAACTGAAGACTAACAAATCAACATTTTGCATAAAAGATATCCAGGGAGCTGTATTAAATTACATACTCATTATTTAAATATTATTTGCTATCACAACAACTCTGGAAATTGTGAATTTGAACTCATGTTGAATTTTATTGTCATATTTGCATTTTTTCTTTTCAGAAACAAAAATTTGGAAACTTATTTTCTGTCAGAAAATTTGGAAACTTATTTTCTGTCAGAGCTAAAAAGAAAAAAAGAGAAAAACATCAAGCCCAAAATGTTTTTTTATATACATTTTTTTTTATCTGGATCTGCAGACTCTTCTTTTCAATAACATCTCTGTTGTTTCCATTTTTATTCTCACTTTTTGAAAATGCACAAATCCACAAGCACATTTTGTAGATTTATTCTACTCAGTCGCACATCCCTTTTGATCAGAGTATATTTTTAATAACTGCACAGTATTTTATGTTGAAATGTTGCCCTTCCTGTACAGTTTTATTCTTTATTCTGTTTTTATATGTTTACCTTTGTGTGAACCTGCATGCTTTGTTTCCCTGTCACTTTGCTGTGTTTACACTTTAATTTTCCCACTGAGACAATAAAAAGCAGGATATTTCTAAGTACTTAATAATTCTACATTTTGGCCAACAGGCTTTCTAAGTGTATTATGTGCACAACTTCCACATCATAACAGCACTGTATAAAATAATTGTGACGTTAAAAGCAATAATTATACGCAACAAAGCCTGAATTGAAAACGGGGTGTTATTGTTTTAGTTAAATATTTATTGAGTAATGAAAGGAGCTTCTGCAAAGAAAGTGATTCCTGCAGGTTTCATTGAATTTATGCAATGTTAGTTTACTAAGAAAAACTTAAAATCTGAGCTACATGATCTAATAATTGAGGAATTCACATGACAGATGATAAATGCATTAATAAAATAATTAGAGAGGCCTTCCAAAATAAAACAAAAATAATACACAGAAAAAAATCAATAAATATGCAAAAACTAAAAAAAATCTCAAATTAAAATCAAAGAAACACATTTTCAGATCCTACAAAATATCTTTAATAAAGAACAGTTTTTTTTGGAAGACTAAATGCTATTTTTGACCAGAGCCAACAACTGAAAACATCGTCAGCAAATAAGATCTGAAAACAAATAAATGAAGCAAACAATTTCCTAAAGTTAACGATCAAATGTTGCATTAGAAAAATTAAAATTTCTAATTATCACACTTCAGTATAACTTCAGTGTTACTGACACCTTAAATCTCACAACATACAATAAAGCAAAGTGTTTATTCTCATGTCTAAAGTAAGAAAGAGAGAGAGAAAGAAAGAGAGAGAGAGAGAGAGAGAGAGAGAGGACAAACGGAAGGAAGGAAGAAAGAAAGAAAGAAAGAAAGAAAGAAAGAAAGAAAGAAAGAAAGAAAGAAAGATATTCTTGATGTTTTTAACACATATTTTCACATACTAACGTAGGTACCTACTCCAGACTCCCCCTGGTGCCATGGAGGACTTCTACTTCCTATGAAGGACTTCCATTTTGTTTAGCAGCTTTGCAGCATTTTCAGCTTGTTTTTTCAGCATTTCATTTGTTGTTTTTATTTTCTGATTTAAACGTCTTTCTGTTGCATTTATTTATTTATTTAGTTTTGTGGTTTGCAGCACTTCTCGCCATTAGAACCCGTTGCACACCCTACTATGGGCTACATAAAACATCCTCATCACATTTTTTGACAGGCGGACCTCGCCTCCTGAATTCGGTCTCTTTTTTTTATAGCTCCAATCAGAATGAGCTGTTTTTAATGTTCTGTCACTTTTATGCAAATAAGCTGCTGCTGGCCACGCCCCCAACTCAATGTTTTCAACTCGCCTTCTACTCGTGCAAATGGCTGCAAAGAGATACGCAAGACAACGACACATTTTTAACCCAGAAGCAAACGAAATGGAGCCTCCTTCACAACCAGCAGGCAAGCAGAAGCTGTTTCTGAATGATAATTAACGGTCATAAAGTAAAACGTTATTTGTGAGACACATCAGCCTATTGTTAGCGTTAGCTTGTGCTAAATGTTCACTCCGAACTCGTTATGCTGTACTTACATCTCCGTCATCTTCGAATTTGAAGCGAATAGTGGGAACGGAACCTTTCTTCAGTCTTAGTCTTAATGCAAATCCTGCCTTATACTGTCGGTAGTTTTCAAAACAGTCTGTGGTGAAGTGATTTGCACAAACTACAATCTTCTTCGGCAGTGTGCCTAGGGACGGGACTTTTCCGTCAAAGATGAAGCGGAGCCACTTAGTTCTGTTCGCCTCGGCTGGGAGGACGTGCATGGAAGCATGTTGGTCAAAGCAGTCAACAACAAAACACCTGTCTTTTCCACCAGGCATTGTACAGCGGTAAAAACAGCACTTCTCCTTCTTTACCTCAACTTAAACGAGAACTACCGCCACCTCGTGGCCCGGAGTCAGACTGAACCACAACGGTGTGAAAAGGTTCGTCCCTTTCTGATTTAAAATTCAGTCAGAGAGGACACAATTAAACATAAAATGCTGTTTTTAGATTAAGGTGTTTATTACTAAGGGGTAAATATCCAAACATGGCCGAGTGTGAAAAAGTGAATGCCTCCTCTTTGTTAAAACATAAGTGGTTTGTCACACCTGAGTTCACCATCTCCAGCCACACACAGACCTGATTACTGCCACATAACACTGCTGCAATAAGGAATTAAGCAATTAATCACATAATAAATTAAAGTGAACTCCAGAATTTCCTTTCTGGTGGCTGATTATTTTTGAACGGCAATTTTGTTTACAGAGATTTCATAATTCATTTTTTAAGGTTTTGGTGGTGTGTGGTTTTTATTTCTGTTTTTCAGTTTTGTTTTGGATTATTTTGAACATTTACAATATCTTTCAGTTTTAGTGTTAATTGTCCTTTAGAAATTTAAAGTGTATTGGTCTTTGAGAAGAAAACCTCATGCATTATTATCAACATGTTACATTTTATTTCTGATTTTGGTTGTATATGATTTTTGTTGTTTTTTGTTGTCATATTTTATTTTGCATATTTAAAATATCCTCCAGTTTAAGTGCTTCTAGCGTTTTTCTGGTGCATTTATTTACTATTTGTGTCCCTTTGTGTGTTTTAGAGTTCCCATCATTCATGTGTTTGCAGCTAGTTTTGACGTTTGTGCGCATCGCAGAACAGCAAAACACAGTGTAAAGAAAAAATGCTGCAATTACAGAAAACAAAAGCAAAAGGAAAAATGCCACTAATAGCAAAACAACAGCAAGTATAAACTCTGCAAACTCATTCCACAAAACAAGAGTCCTCCAGGCCACCAGGGGGAGTCGACCACTAAATCACATGTGACAAGACTCTTGGGAAAGACTGGGTGTCCTGAAAAATTTATGGTATATTTTACAATATTATAAAACAGTAGCATATTTACCACTAGTGGTCAAGAGGACTTCCTTTTTGTGGCATTTCATACTTACTATTGTTTTTGCTATTGGTGATATTTTCCCTTTAGTTTCTATTTCTATATGCTGTGATTGCAGCATTTTGTTTTTGTTTTTAGGATTTGCTTTTTTCTGTTAGTGTGTTTTGTAGTTTGCGTCGTTCATGTGTTTCCTCCACATTTGCCCCTGTAGGCTCCCATAGTTGCTAGGTGAGGGTTAGTGCCCGCCGATTGTAATCGCCATATCGGGATGTTTTTGAAAGAGCTTGATTTCCAGACACCAAAATGCAGTAAATTGTTGACAGAAAATGGCAGGATGTTTTTGGCTGTTTTTTTTTTTTTTTTTTTGGTGAATGGATTGTTTCTAGAAGCAGAATAAACTCAAAAAGTTCATTTTGCATAATAGTTCCCATTTAAAGTTGGAGAATGCAACCTGACAAAATGTGCAACAGTTTGGCAAAATTCAAAATCTGTAAGAAAACCAAACGAACCGGGTCTGACAACGGCCGAGCTCGAACTGACAGCTGCCAGCGACTCACGACGTCACAGTAGGGGTCCCGAGGAATCAACAGGACATTCTGGGCTCCTGGAAATGTACCAGCAAAATAAAAAGTCAATACGAAAAGACAATTTATTAAATAACATCTGATCACCTGCCTTCCCGTCAGAATAAACTGAAAATGTAGCCGTTCTAATTATTAACCTTTATTGTTGACCTGAGGTTTTGGAGGCTTTGATGTTCTCGGTGTTTTCAGAATAACAGTTTGCTTCTGAATGGACGCAGGCAACTCGTCGACGCCATGACCTTTCACCTCTGGGTCAGTATCGGCTGCCAGGGTCTCTACAGGAACCTGGGAGAGCAGTAAAGCATGAACGCAGGTGTGTTTACTGAGCTTCACTCACATTTACAGCTGCTAACGAATGACAATTCAGCAGTGTTAATGACTGATAACAGCCAGACTTCAGATACCAAACGGACTCGTCATGCTCCAAACCATAATTATAATTAACACACAATGATCAGCTGTTTTTTTAGTTGCAAATAAACTTTTCAAATGTCTGGCATGATTTTTTTTTATTTAGTGCTAAATAAAATCCAGTGACATGAATGACAGATGTCAGACTTTTTCTCATCTGTTGTTTTTCTTCAGACCAGAGGATGATATTTTGCTTTCCTGGATCTTTCAGCCTACTTCATGTTGTCATGTTGGTTCTATTTCAGATGTTTTGATTCTAGGGATCTGGCAGGGATTAAAGTTGATTACTTTTTAACACAGGATGAGTTTGGTTTAGTTTTCTGCCCTCACAAATGAAAACTAGTTTCAAATAAGTAGGAAAGAGAGGAAAAAGCATAAGAGGGCAATGCGTGACGTCGGTAATACGTCATCTGCAACCCAGCATTACCTTATTCCAGAGTTGCATCTTTCTCTGTCCCGATATTGGAAAAAAAAAATCTAGATCTGGTATTGTGACAGTGTGTCTGATCCATTAGGGCAGATCTATTTAGTCTAATTCTGTGCTTTGTGCTCTGAGCGACATCATGCTTTATTATTTATGCTTCATTATATATAGAAATTGTTTTTGTTTGTTTTTATTGTCTGATTTACAAAATTAAACTTTACGAGCTCTGTTCATAAAACAGTTCCGTCAGATTTATTTCCCTGACTTGTTTTGTACATTGTACATGACTTTTCTAATAAATAAAAAAAGTGAAAAAAAGTAAAATTGACCAGTGAAAAGGATGGGACAGCGTGGTCCTTCAGGTGCAGCTGTCCTTTACTATTCTCCCTCTTCCCGATGTAATCATCATCCGTAAAGTGAGCGCTGCAGACGCGGAGATGCTTCAGCGAGGCTGGCGGCGTGTTGACATCCATCCTCAGCACCGATAGCCACAACATGCGGAGGTGGAGGTCCGCCAGCGGAATGCGGTGGAACCTGTACGGCGACCAGGAGTTGGCCCTGTTAGCGCAGCCAGGGAAAGCACAGCAGCAAACCATATTCGGTGGAGACGAACTGGTCCCAGTCTGGACCCAGTTGAAACCGGAACCTGACCCCAGTCCTGGCAGACCTACATTATCAGTATCAACCGTACTTCTGGTAGCGGCAGGAAGCGTTATCCCGTCTTTCCATTCGACCCGGAAGACTTGGCTCAGTAGGGGAACGTGTCTGTCCGCCATATTGTGAGTGGCAGGCCATACAGTTAGAAACAGGATTTTCTGAATTAAAAAAGGACAGATCGCTGTGGAGAGTGGCTGGATATTTATTAAATGATGATTAAAAAAATAAATTATATAAAAATTTGCAACCTGTAATGCTTACATTTAGTGCTTAACAGCTATGATAACATGATTAGCTGTTTGACTGTTTTGTCTTCAGATATTATTTGAAGAGTGCTATTTGATCATTATCATTACATTGAATTCTCATTATAAAACAAATGTGTATCTGTGATAACACACTACAACATTATGTAACAAACAAATCATAACATATACTGATCATATAAAGATAATGCATAAGACAAATATTAAAATAAAAATACTTCACTTTTTTAGAAAGTAATTCATTGAAATTATTTTTGAGCGTTTTATTAAATAAACAATGTGACTATTAATCGAGTATTGCTTTTAAACTGCTTAGTAATTTGTTTTGAACTTGTGTATAATATGTTTTACTTTTGTGTAACCAGGTTGTGTGTTGCTGGAGCGACCTACGTTTCAACTGCAAATGAGATCTGGATCTCCAGGGGGTTTTACCTGGTTAAATAAAAAATTATATATATTAAAAAAAGAAGTTACATATTTTTAAAATATTCTTGGTATATTTAGTGTTCTTATAACACTGATTATAAATATTAGTGTTATTACTGTTGGAAATAATTAGTTTAATGTCAATAATAAAAATCGCCCCACATTTAAAAACAGCAGCTGATTCCTCTGTGTTATTTTCTGAAAGTATGACTGTATAAACTTGGATGTATTTTTTTTATTCCAGTTTTTCTTTCTCCATACATCTTTAAAGGTTCATTTAAATATGTGACCACGGGACTAAATGATAAACAACTGATATTAATTATTAGTTGAGTATTTAGTTCAGAAATCTCATAATATTCTTCACTTCTCTGATGACGTTTCAGAACAGAAACAACCTTTATTGTTAAGCAAAGGGGAAATTAAGGTGCAACAGCAAAATTGATCTGAAGGTTCACACAAAAAAGTTCTTAAAATGTTAAAAACAATATATAAAAAACAAGATTAACACTAATACTAATGATAACAATATACAGTATAAGACTAACATACAGTGGTGCAACTTTGTACTTTCTGGTGTGTATTGCAGCGTGACTCTTATATAACGCACCATACACAGCTGCCAAATACAGAAAATGCAGTCTAGAAATAATTTTTATGCCGTTGTTTGGCGCCCCTTCTAGTGCAGCGCCCACATAGCATATCGAGCTTATATCCACTTTTTGCGACACTGACAGTTATTAGAAATATTCATCCAATGGTTTTTACACCATAAAGAAAAAAATAATCCCTCCATTTAAGCTCTGATGTCTGATGATGAAACTCTTCTGGTCAGACTCTTGGTAGGGTCAGAGGTCAAGGTCCACAAACTGGTTAGAGCACGCTAGTCAGATCAAGGTAGAAATTAATTTTTTCTAGGAGTTGTTGGTGAGGGTGTGCTGCAGCTTCAGAGCTGTAATCCTGCAGTCCAGTTCATCCATGAAGCCTTCATCCACGGATTCCCGGTCCGCCTCCTCCGGTTTGGCCTCGCTGGGCAGAAAGACGTGGAGCTGAGCTCGACCTGCAGGCCTGGCGGCGGCAGTGGGCCGCGGGCCGCAGCCCAGGAAACACGGCTTCCCCACCACAAACAGAGTCTCTCCCTGGCAGGAAGAGGAGTTGCGGCGCCGGAAGTCACCCTGCAGCATCTCCCCGCTCACATCTGGGTTGTGTGAGTGCCGCCTCACCGGAGCGGGCTGGGCGGCGGGCCGGGCGGCGGGCCGGATGGCCCGGGAGAAGTGGATGTAGGCCGGTCGGCTGCATCTCTGGAGCTGCTGGTTTTGCTGCTGGTTGCAGTTCCTGCAGGGCAGCAGGGTGGGGGGTTTGCTGAAAGGTGGAGGAGGTGGAGGCCTCATCTGTAAACAGCTGGAGAGACGAGACCCAGAACATCCGTCCAACTGGAGGTCCTGACCCGGGGAGAGGAGGGACGGCTCGCTCAGGCTGGAGACACAAAAAACATGGAATCCACTCTGAGTTTGATAAAGATTGATAACCTGAAGCATTTAAACACATTTTGATGAATGGAACCTGGACACTGTGCAGCTCTGGACTACGGAAGCCTCTAGGTGCCATAGGACATGTACTTAAAATAAGTAAAATTGGTTAAAATTTACAAAGAACAACTTAATATAAAAGTTTTTTATTTTTTCAATGTACCAAAATTGACACACATTTTATATTTTGAACCATCTGATTATTAAGAAGTACTACAAATACTGTTTTATTCTTCTTGGATTCCTATTTTTCATTTTGGAGAAATAAATTGCTGGAAATGAGACAAATGTATCCAGGCTTGCTAATACGGTACTTTAGCATGGTCTTTCTCCAAAACCGTCTAGTAAAATGATTAAATGTTTATTCTGGCTAAGTATAAATATGTGAAAGTAATAGGCAGGTTTATTATTTTCGCCTGAGAGGCCAAAAACTGCTATACTACCGTAATGCACCATGTATGCGCGAAGCTAATCTTTAAGTGGAGCTAACGTCGGCTAGCTCAACCGCAGTACTTGACCCCCGTGGTGCATTAGAGTGTCACTCGGGTTTCTCTCAATTAAAGGTGCGGATCAGTTTTCTCCCACTGAGAATTACGGGTCACCGGCGGCGGGACCGGTTCACATAAAGCCGTCAAACTGGGACACGGCCAGGAGGAAACAATCGGAGTGTAATTTCAGCCAGCCTGGGATCTGAAAGGTGCTTTTACTAGAAATGAAAAGTGATGCAAGCAGGATCATCACATCCACACAGATCACCTTAGACCCTGTTCTGCACTTTCAGAACCGTTTTTAGCTAAACTTAGGAGAGAAATGTTGTGGGAAGCTGCAGTCAGCAAAAATAATTCAATAAACTAATTAAACATCAATTTTGTGATGGAAATGCCATTTAATTAATGTGATTTGTTCAAATTTAGTACCAGAAATATAAAAACTCAGCTGATTAACATTTACATGCTGTACACATAATTTAAAGGAGATCGTCAATGTTTTTCAGAATACGACCCCCAACACACGCTCTCTCTCTCTCTATTTATATATATATGTGTGTGTGTGTGTGTGTGTGTGTGTGTGTGTGTGTGTGTGTGTGTAAAGGAATGTTGATACTAATTAAGTAACTAATAATTTAATTTTAATTTTAAACTACAAAATTAACATTTTCATGTTATCGATTTTTTTCTTATAAAAACAAATCTATCATTTTTACTTATTTTTGATTAATGTAACATGGTTTAGGTGAAGTAAGTAAGGTTTACCTAATTTATTCAATCTTTAACTCTGTAGTATAATTTATTAGCTATAGATGAGTAAGGTACTTGAATTAATTGTATTTAAATTTACTTATTTAAATGTAACTAAGTAAATGTAACTAGTTACTTCTCAACTCTGAATTACTTCCCTCAAACTTTAAAAATCAAACAATTTGTTACAATTTGCTTATTTCTTTGTTGCATTTTAGATTAATTTATAGCAGTATTTAATGTTGTATTTCAACATTACACAATGTCATCTTTGCTATGCATTTAGCAGTAAATATTTTTAATTCAATAACCTGCAGCATAAGGTGAGGTTTAGCTCAGAGTTTTGATCGTTCGGGTGATTTTACCTGAGGCGGGCCATGCTGCTCCGCCTGCGGGGTGCTTTGGCCGTCAGAGACGGCAGCCTGAGCGGGGCTCTGCTCCGGAGTCCAGGCGGCAAAGAGCCGGGCAGAAGGCGGCTGTTCCTCCGGACGGACCCGCAGTGCCACAGCCCGCTGAGGAGCGCCGGGGGAGCGGCGGCACCGGCTCCGCTCATCTGGGACGCTTCTCCTGCAGGAAGCTTCTCGGCTGGGTCTGTCATGAGGATGGGAGCGAGGTGAACCTGCCAGGCCGCTGCCATGCCGCAGGGGGCGGATGGTGGATGTACCGTTACAGGTGTGCGTTTTACTGGGACCGGCATGAATGATACATGAGCATTAATGATGCAGAGCTGGAGCTGCTCAGCTGGGCGTTGGGTGAACTGTTCCTTCCTCCGGCTCGGTTTACAACCAAACAGCTGCTGAGGCAAAACGGGAAAAGCTCTGAAAACCGCAGGATTAAAAAATATATCATAACCCAAGATATTCCGCCTAGAAACAGATGAAGGCGCTAAAAGTTCACAAGACTCAAACTCTGATTCTCAACCGCAAATAACCTGGCTATAAACAAAGAGCTTGATTTTAAATCATTTTAGCTTGAATGAACTCGATCTTACGGAAGACGACTAGGGCCACTGGAAAAAAAAAAACTTCTCAAAAGATAAAAGTTAGAAAGAGAGAAAAAAGTCAGAATTTTGAGTCAAAACTTCTGAGAAAAACAAGAATTAACTTTTTTCCCAAATGGCCCTAATCCTCTTCCTTACTATCGCTTTATGATTTATAATCAGTTTTGCTGATTTAAGAATAATCGGTTCAATTCAGATTGTTTTTCTTCCGCAGGTTTTTAACCTTTTGTAAACTTCTAGTTTTGCAGTTTTTTTGCAAGCAAAAGATGTAAAATCAAACTCAGAAGTGAAAATAATTAATTTCCCACCTGATTTGTCTGATGCTGCAGATTCTACTGCATTTTTACACAAACAGCTGAAAACCATTTTCTATAATAATCTAGATTACTGAACCAGAACCCAGGTGTAACGTAACGATGTTTCCAAACTTCCAGGACCATCGTCCCGCCAGCAGCTCAGGTGAGACGTGAACCTGACCCAGATGGAGTCCGGATTGTCTTGCTGCGTCTGTGTTGGACTTCCTCCAGGGTTGACAGCCAACACTGGGCATGGGACCGTGTTGCCGCGGCGGAAACTTTGCACCTTTAGCCTTAGTTATATCGGAGCTGGAGGCAGCGAGGCGGAGCTGCACAGATTGTCTTGATCCCGCCAAATACAGGCGATACGTTCACCTCCTCAAGTGCCAACAGAGAGCAGAGTGTACCTGAGCTCAAGTAAGAGCAGCACCACTTCAACATTTTTACGACAGTAAAAGTAAGCAAAATGGTAAAAAGATTACTCGAGTACTGGGTAACTGATTAAAATAATTTAATTTTTAAGAAATGCATCATCAGATGGACCAAAATATAAAGTTCTGTGGAAATGTTGCTATTTTAAAGACCGAAATGAAACAATTACAAATCCAGCAAGAGAAACATTTTTCCAAATACATTTCTTTCAATAACAAGCTTATGAAACTACAACAAACACTACAGGTATGTCTGGTGAATTTTTAGTTAAAACGAGTTTGTTCTTCATTCAGTGACGTTACTCACAGCAGTAGAATATTCATAAATTTTACTTGATGCTTCAAGTAAAAGTAAAAAGTACCATGTAGTAAAAATACTCGTAATAGTACAATTCTCCCTGCCACAAAATTATTTAAATAAATGTAACTTGATACATTTATCGAATATAAGCCCAACTCTGGGCTTATATTGTCTGAAATTCTGCTATTTTTATTTTGGTTGAACAGCTGAATAAACTCAGGCAGGAACAAAAAACAGTTTTTGCTCTCTTATTTTCCAACAGAAAAACAGAATCTGTCCGGCAGATGTCCGCCCCCTGCTGGTTGCATCCCGGTACTGCAGCTTCACTTGCCTCATCCTGAAAGAAAAGAAAACAAACGTCAGGAAATGATTCCCCTTTACCTTTTTTCTTTATATTGTTTAAAAATCTTTGAGAAATAGAATGCAGAACAATGTAATGAAATTCGGCAATGAGAGCCGCTAAGAGGTTACAAATACTGAGACAATACTTTACAATAGCATATCCAATAAATTCATTAGAGAGAAAACTTAATGGCTTTCATATTGGTAAAATACCCAATAGTTTTTATATTTTGACCTCATTTTCAAAAAGAAGGTCAAACAAACACATAACGTCATTTAGCTAAGACCCAGTTTAGACACAGCCGCTCTTCAGTTACACAAGCTCACGGCTCCAGCGTTTAACAAAAACAATGGCGGACAACGTTAAGCTACTTAACCTGTTCAATTCAACACAGTTCTGATGAAGGATGTCTGTGTTACATGAGCACATTGGATGCCATGCTAAACCCACAGCACCATCTAGTGGCCTGGTGTGACATTTGATACTAAATGAAGCAAAAGATCTGTTCAAAGAAAAGGTTCAAAGAAAAGGGAGACGATGTTTAATAAAAGTCGAAACCTTTGACATTTACCTTCCTGTACTGAGTTGTGAACCATTTTAAATCTTCCTGATGGAGTTCAGCCTCCATGGCTTCCTGTTCTCAGACTTCAGGTGTGATTTTTACCTGCCAGAACAGAGGAGGACAGGAAGTCAGTCAGCTGGGAAAGCATCCAGAGTCCAGAGGTCACGCAGAAGACGACCTTACCATGGCTGCTCAGGTGGAACCGTCAGCCTCCTCTGATTGGTCGAGGCTCCTGAGGTGAGAAGAACACACAGTAAGAGCCTGGCTGTGATTGGTCAGCAGTGTGTGTCGGGACGGCCGTGTTACAATCAGTTAGAATGAGCTGCTGTTTGAGTCAGCAGGCATGAAGGCGGTCCTGGTACCGCAGCTGGTACCGACCCGGCAGAGCGGCACCAAAACTTTAAGACCCGACACCCTTTTAGACACAAGGGGTCATCTAAGGTCAACAGGGACATTCTGGCATCACACTGAGACTGGAGGGAGGACGGTTTGGGCCGATCGGATAAAAAGGTTCTGTTTGGAGAAATGGGTCACAGTGCAGACTGATAAAACTTCCTCTGAGGATCTGGGAGAACCAGAACCTCCATGAGCGACAGAAGAGTTTCCACACTGAACACCAACCACAGGCCGGTTCTGATCCAAATCTTCTGGTTCTGTTGACTGAAATATTTCCCTGCTAAAACGACTGCAAACAACCAGCTGAACAGAACCGAGGCGACCATCGACTGACCCAAAGTTTAAACTCAGTCAGAAAAACTGCAGAGGAAATAAAAAAAGCCCGACCCGGTCCAAACCACAGCGCTCCCAGTACCACCATGAAGAGCTACGAGTCCAGTTCAGGAGCAACAGAGAGTAAAACACAATCATCAGTTATTCTGCAATAATAGAGACCAAATGATTAATCAGGTCGTTTACTGCAGCAGAAAAACGTTTTGCAGCATAAACAGGAAGTGAGTCATCCAGAAAATATCACCGAGTTTCCAAACAATAGAAGAAGAAAAAAACTTTTTCCAATTCATGGATTTGTTTTTACTCCCCATCAGGGTTCTGCTGGCAGGAAGCCAAGAATTAAAACCTGAACAGTTTATGGATTTACTGCAGCAAAGTGAGGCTCCATCATGCAACACTTAGCAGATCAATAACTGAATTTAAGGTTGATTTCATTGACATTTTTGTCCATTCAGTCAAATTTTCCTCAATTAGAGCACACTGCCCAATTTTTAGTTCGACTTTAGAAAACTGGAAATCTTACGTCCATTATAAAACCGAGAAGGAAAAAAATTGCCCACATATGGAAAAAAGCTAATTTTTTTCTTTTCTTGCATAAATCAACGAAACTTCAGTTGTGCTCAAAACTATGAAACATTCAACAAACCTGAGAAGATTAACCCTTTAGAGCTGGTTTGGTGACATGAGGTCACTTTGAAATTGATGTGTAAACAGAAAATATTGACTCTGGATTATTTTCTCTAACGGATTAAAAACTGGCCGTCTTTGGGTCATTAAAGACAAAAATGTCCACTTCAACAAACTGCCATCAGATATCAGGATTTTAATCCTTTAAATGCCAGTTTGACTTTGTACAGATATTTTTAAAACAAAAAGAAAATTATTTCCCAGATAAACATTTTGAACTGTTAGATTTTGTGGAATCTGATTTACAATTTATGACCCAAGTCAAAAATGTCTCATTGACTCATTAAAACCAGCTTTTGTAATTCAAATGTAATTACTGATCTTAAAAATGTGCATTACATTTACAAAAAATAAAAATAAAACAAACACGACCTCCTGCTGAAGGTGAGGAGTTCACACCAGATCCTCCTTCATCTCACCTGGTTATTTTAGTTCCACCCAGAGGTTCTGGGTTCAAACAGCCACAAACGAGAGTTCTGAACGTTTCAGATCATTTCACATTAATCTTATTTAATCAATGTTTAAATATAATTATATCCGAGTTTCACATTTACACTTAGGTGTAAATAAAAACCTCATTAAATCCAATCCAACAGAAACTCTGAATGCCACAGAAAGGCTGCAAAGAGATGCACAATCATCCAACCATACATCTTTGAAAAGCAGAAGTAGAGCCTCCTGTACAACCAACAAGAATGTAGCAAGTGGTTTCTGCATAGTAAGCCAACAACAAAACACACGTCTTTTCCAGCAGCCATTGTACAGAGCACACAGCTATAAAACCAGCTGACCAAATGTGCTGTAGCTCAGTTTGGGTTGCTGGGTACCGGCGCTGTGCCATGAAGGTTTTGAAACTGCTCCTATTCTAGACACAAAAAACCATCAACTTGCTGCCAAAAACCAGCGGGATGGATTATTCAACCGCCTGGGACGGTTTTAAAAGCAGTAGAGACCCAAACGCAAGTACAAAAACATGCAAAGTGTGAATTTTGCACAGCATGTCTCTGTTAAGGAACACTGAACATGTTTCTGGAATTATTTCCATTTTTCACTGAATCAAATATAAAATGGTAACAAGAATAGGGTTTAAATTTCAGACATATGAAAATGAAACTGTTTCATTTATGGTAAAATATAGTTTAAATCTAATATTCTAACTTGGAGACAATTATGTTTCTGTTTAATTTCAGTCAGAATTTGATTTCGAGTTGCTTTGCCATCATTTAGGTTTCCATCGTTTCAGACAGGAAGCGACGTTTATGTGGAACGGGAAGTAAAACTGTAAATAAAGGAGCTACAGCCAAGAGACAAACATTAAGCTGGTTTCCTATCCTTTAGTTCATGGTTTAAGATGAACATAACAGAATAAACAGAAACCACCTGATTTTCCTGACCTCTATCATTTATTGGAGCTAATCAGATCAAAGTTCAGCAGTTTCAAAGATGATTGGATATTTTTCCATCCATAAGGGACCATAAATATTCCAGGACCAGCTCTACTAAAACATTTCCTCACAGGTTGTGATGTATGGAGCAGAAA